AAGGTGTTAAAAATTCCTTGTTCATATTATTAAGGCCCCGCGATTTATATAATTCATCCAAATTATTTATTTGGAATTCAACATTGTTGATTGATTGGATAGTCCATAAACTTGTTCTAAGAGAGAGATGAAGAATTATTTATACTAGCAGAAGAAATTGCATTTCAATGTAAAAAACAAAGATCATTCATGATACACGAGTTCAACACAGTATTTGTGCAGTAAATCAAGCTAATGTCTGAGAACCGGTGAGACTAGCGTGATAACCAACTACACCACCCAGACTAATATGCTGAAAGATTATGCTTTTAGATACCAAAAGAATGTGATGAAAATTGTGCTTTTATTATTTAATAATAATTGTTTTACAACTTGTAAGATTACACTGGGATTGTTGTTGTTGTTGCTTTACAACTTCTAAATGAAGCAAAACCCAATGCGGAAGGAAGCAATCTACCCGCAGATCGAATGGAAGACAAAAATTATCATGATTATAAATTTGGGATTATAACAAAAAAAAAAATACAACAAATCTAGTGCAATTCCACAAGTGGGATATGGGATTATCAAAAGAATAAATTTGTCACAAACACTGGGATTAAGAGGAATAAATTGTCACTGAATGAAAGTTGCAAGTTATTAAAACACATGGAAATCGAGTAACAAAATACTTTCACATTAAAAAGGAAAATCAGAGCTTGAGTTTAAAATGGTATAAGGATAAATATACACAAAGTGACCTCTATTTGATTAAACATATGCTTGTGCAACATATAAATTAGACTCATTTCGAACCAACGGAAAAGTTATCTCCGTGTGACCTATAGGTCGCATGTGATGACCCAAAAAGTCATCACTTGTTTTAGAAATAAATTCTGTGTTCCAAAGCCTTAAAAACTCTTTCTGTCTCACCTCGATTTGCGTGCACAGTCCAAGCGCGTATCCGGAAAGCCACTATGTGAAAATCTGTGAAAAATAATAAATTTTGCTTTTAAAATGAATTTAAGTTGACTTCGGTCAACATTTTTAGTAAACGGACATGGACCCGTGATCTGACGGTCCCGGAGGATCCGTAGGAAAATATGGGACTTGGGCATATGCCCGGAATCGAATTCCGAGGTCCCAAGCCCGAGAAATGAATTTTTTAAAAAAATTGTTTTCTGTAAAATATAGGAGTTTTTGGAAATGAAATATGTTTGAATTTGATAATATCGGGCCCGTATTTTGGGTCTGGAGCCCGGAACAGGTCCTATATGTGATTTGAGTTGAGCCTTTAAATTTGGTAAGAAACGGAGGTCATGACGTGATTCGGAACCTTAATTGTAAAATTTGAAACTTTGAAAGTTCTTGAGATTTTCTTGATTTTGATGTCAAATTCATAGTTATTGATGTTATTTTGATGATTTGATTGCACGAGCATGTTCGTATGATGTTTTTAGATTAGTGTACATGTTTGGTTTGGAGCCCCGAGGGCTCGGGTGAGTTTTGGATAGGCCACAAAATGGAATTGAACTTAGGAAGTTGCAGGTTTTCAGCTAGTATGTTGCAAGTCTGCAGGCTTCGCAAATGCGAGCCCGCAAATGCGAACATCTATCGCAAATGCGAAGAAGACCTGGGATGCCTTGGTCGCAAATGCGACCTGTTCATTGCAAATGCGATATTGCAAATGCGAAGTGGACCGGATTTCTTTCAGTGTCGCAAATGAGACAAAAATCTTCGTATTTGCGAAGTTAGCAGGTTCTGAAGGATTCGCAATTGCGACATCCGCGACCTGCAAATTCATGACTTAGCCAAAAATCTTTCATTTTTCAAACTCTTTCAAAACATAAACTCTCTTAGGCGATTTTCCAAAGAAAAGTTCTTCTCCAAATCGATTGTAAGTCATTTCTAACTCGTTTTCTTCAATCTTTAATATCTTTTTACATGATTTCAACTCAAAATCAAGGGTTTTCATGGGGGAGATTGGGTGTTTTGAGTAAAATCTAGATTTTTCAAATTTTGGGGATTTGGACTTCGATTTGAGATCCAATTTCGAAACAAATTATATATTTGGGTTTGTGGGTGAATGGGTAAACGAGCTTTGGTTTGAACCGAGGGTTTTGACCATGTGGGCCCGGGGTCAATTTTTGACTTTTTGGAAAAAAACTTTAGAAAACCTATTTTCATGCATTATAATTGATTCATTTAGCATTTACTGATATAGTTAAATAACTTGTGGTTAGATACGAGCGAATTGGTGATGGAATCAAGAGGTAAAGAGGTAGTTGAGGCTTGAATTGTATTAGTGGCATCGAGGTAAATGTTTGGTCTAACCTTAGCTTGAGGGATTAGGAGTTGTGTCTTATTTGCTATGTGTTAGTTGTTGAGTACGACGTATAAGCATGGTGACGAGTATCTATACGTTGGTGTCAAGTATGCTTGTGAGTCTTATACTATGATTAATGTCACCGTTTGTATTGTTTATGCCTTATGTGATGATTTCTATTGTTGAGCAAGGCTCGTGGGAGTAATATTGGTACTTGAACATAGAAGAGTGTTGGCTCAAGTTGTAAAATGATTTGTGGAAGTATAATTGGCAATTGAACCTTATAGAGCATTGGCTCAAATTGTGAATTGAGTTGTGAAGTAAATGTGAAAAAGAAAAGAGGATTATGACATTGTCTCCCTTGCCGGGATGTTATCGTTTTGATATTGTGTCCCTTGCCGGGATATGATTGTTGTACTATTGTTCCCTAGCCGGGATTTATTGTGAATGTGTTGATTTCCTTGCCCTTATTGCTTTGTGATTGTTGTTTGGATGAGGAAGAGCGTTAAAAGCACGAAGGGTGATGTCGTGTATGATTTTTGTGAGGAAGAGTATAAAGCACGAAGGGTGATACCGTGTATGATATTTGTGAGAGAGTGTTAAAGCACGGAGGGTGATGTCGTGCCGCACGATGTACAATTTTGTGCCGATTATATTGATTTTATGGTGAGGACGAGAGTAAAAGCACGAAGGGCGATGCCATGCAGATTATATTGATTCTTATGGTGAGAACGAGAGTAAAAGCACGAAGGGTGATGTCGTGCACTTGTTTGATTTCTGATTCTTGTTGATAATTGAGTTATGATGTTCCTTATATTTACCTGTTATTCTTCTGTTATTATTTGATGTTTTCCCACAGCATGTTCCCCCTCCCATCCTTAACTGTACATTCCTGCTTTTATTTTTTGTTGTATATGATTTAACTACACAGGTTTATTTGGTAGTCTGGTCCTAGCCTCGTCACCACTTCGTCGAGGTTAGGCTAGGTACTTACCAGCACATGGGGCCGGTTGTGCTGATACTACGTTATGCACTATGTGCAAATCCCGGAGCAGCAACTTTCGGACCTTAGCTTTGGGGTTGTTGCCTTCAGTCCATTCGGAGGTCCGAGGTAGTCCTGCAGGCGTCCATAGGCCTTGGCGTCTCCTTTCATCCTGTTTCATTTACGTATTTCCGAGATAGTATTATACTTATTTTCGGACCCTTTATTTGTAGTATTCCTAGACCGTCTGTGAAATTGTGACACCAGTTCTGGGTAGTCCTTGTTTAAGAAATTGCATTGAAAATATTTAAATGGTTTTATTTTGTTCTTCTGCCTGTTTAAATTCCGTCGTTTATATAATGTTGGTTCATACTTGTTAAAGGATTAAAATGGGAAAAAGGTAAATAATTCAAATAGTCGGCTTGCCTAGCTTTCACTAGTAGGCGCCATCACGACTCTCGAGGGTGAAAAATTCGGGTCGTGATACGGTAGGGGTGTACAAAGGAAACCGACAAACCGCACCAACCCGAGTCAAACCGAGAAAAAAAATCCGATCATAATTGATTTGGTTTGGTTTTAACTAAAGAAAGTCAAACCGAAACCAAACCAACCCGACATTATATATATATATATATATATATATATATATATAAAGTTTAGATATATTTAATATATAAATATACTTATTGTGATGTAATTTATAAATATTTCATAATTTTATCTTTTAAGGTATTATTTCAAAGTTGGACTTAAAACTTTTGAATGTTCCAATAAGTTTTATAGCCATTAATATTAGGAAATTAAATAATGTTAACAAAAGCACAAACCAAAATCAAATCAATACTAATGCTAACAAAAGACATTCAATTCAATACTACGAACCGGAATGTATTGAATATCTATTTTTTGTTTTGTAATAATTTAGATAAAAATACATAACATATTTTTATTTTTTCTTTAGCGTTTAGTCATGTAATTAATACTCCCTTATTAGTCTACTTATTTTAGCATGACTTAGTACTTTTAGATTATGTTTATTTTTATTATGGCTTTTTAATTAGCAATATTTATATTACATAATTTTATTGTATTTATTGTTGAATATTTTAGGATAATGTCATGACAAATATCATATTTATGTATTATTTTCTTGGAAAATACTTTATATAGTTGTATCTTACTAGGATTAAAGAAATATTTTGAGCACAAGTTATATGTTTTGTTCTACGAAGATTTTACCGGAATAAATCCGAAAAAATCCGAATAATCCGAAAACCCGAGAAAAACCGAGATTGAAAAATCCGAGTTTTATTGGTTTGGTCTTTAAATTTAATAATCTGACACAATTGATTTGGTTTGGTGATTGTAAAATCCGAACTAACCCGACCTATGTATACATCTAGGTCACGGGAGCCGTAAAATAAGTCACTGATGCCTGCATCAGAATAGGCTGCCTATATGACATCACTTGGGGTGCAGTCCTTCCCCGGAGCGTGAACACAAAATACTTCTTGTACCGGACTGCTTTTACTCATCTCGAACCACTTCATACAAATCCTTGATGCATATCATCCTATATAAAGCAACTAAATGTTCCTCTTTCACCAACACAGCATATTATTTGGGGCGCCGTGATTTTATACATGCTCAAATGAACCAAGAAACAGTCGCAACATATATCAAGAAACCTTTAAGAACGATAACTAAAACATATGGTTTTACCAAAAATTTATTATCCAAAGATAGTATAAAGTAGTGAACCCTTTCTACCATTCTATAAATGAAGCAGGAAATATTTTTCAACCAACAAAATCATGAAGCAGTTGCCCTCCAATAATATTATTATCTCTTCCTAACTGACGATTTTGTGTTTCAAAGCCACCAAACATGAATCCTTCGTTATTTTCATCGATACCAAAACGTCGAGCTGCATTTCTTGGAAAGGATCCTGATAAACCAATACTCACATTATTGTTCTGATTAAGTCCCAATGTTAACGACACTCCGCCATTTCCAGCTGATGCAGTACTCATTTGATCAACTACTCCAGCACGAGAATGAGGCGAAAAATTGTCATATGATAAATTCATTGTCTCCTGATCATCACCTCCTAAATGAGTTTCACTTGGATCATTATTTCTTGTTCTCTTTGATGGAACATCATGAAATTGTTGTGAAGACGTGGATGGATGTTCAGATGGAAGTGAATTACTAGTAGGAAAATGTTCGATGGGATTGTTGTTGTTGTTTTGTCCCTCTTTTTGTGAAGCTGCTTTCTGAGCTTGCCTAGTTTCAAGATTGTGTATCTCTTCTACCATAGGCTTCCATAGTCTAACTCTTGCGTTGATGAACCAGTTAGAAACCTGATCCATTAGTAAAATATTGAATTAGATAAGGTAGATGCAAGCAAAAAATGTCTAACTATTATATATATACTGACAGTGTAAAAGAACTTTTTACATCGTCGGGTCAACAAAAAGATAATTATAGGTAACTTGTCATAAAAAGTGAGATTAGTAACCTAAAAAATACAGACAAGTTACATGTTAGGACAATGTAATATGGACTCGAAGTGTAAAAGTAAAATTTTGAAGAAATTTCTGCATCCTGCTATTTTAGAATGATATAATCAGAGTATATATCAATTTGAAAAATACACACCTGATTCCTTGAAAGACCAGTCTGTTTGGCCAACATTACTTTGTCAGAGTCGGTAGGATAACTGCAAATAGCATCAACACTAATGAGTTAAAAGTACAGAAAAAAAAATCTCTAACTTTGCCAGATCACCGTCAAACAAGAAAAGTTAGAGAGCTAATTTGATTGTTAGAATTTTAGACAGCAAATTTCCTATTCTGCAATTTTTTATATTACATGTTGTTCCTTTGTGTCGATTATCTTATTATTTTGATGTCATTGTTTTTTTTTTCTCCAGTATTTCCAACATGACCTCTTCACTATAGTTTTTTTTCTCAAACTTGCTTTGTTTTTTTTCATTGAGCCGAGGATCAACCAGAAACAACCTCCTACCTAGTTGTGGGTTACACTAGGTAAGTTGTTGTAATTTAGACAGCAAATTAAAGTATTCTCAAGTTCACTAGAAGGAAGCTCAACTCCAATAAAATGCCTGCAGGACAAGGGTACTTATATCTGTTTTTCGACATACATCTATTCCAGAACAGTTTTCACTTATAACTCCATACTTGCACCTTTTTAAAAATACACGAACAAAGCCATTAACAAATAAACGCATCCTTACACAAATACTTGTTGTTTCCTAATTGTAAACTAAGTAGATGAACAGCAACTACGGAGGGTGGTGAGTACGCAACCTTACCCCTACCTTATGTAGGTAGAGATGTTGTTTCCGATAGACCATCGGCTCAAAGCAAGCATACATAAACACAACAGTATAGAGAAAGAATGCAATAGTGAAACAGTCAAAGAAGCAGTAACAATAGCAAGATAATAGAAAAACCAAAACAAAAACAATATCAATAGTAATAGAAATTTAAGAATATGGAGATGAAGAACGTTACTACTACTAGAATGAAAGGAAAGTTGCTCGACTGCTTACTAATCATCTGTCCTAGTACTCGACCTCCATACCCACTTATCAAGAATCACGAACATAGTTTATTAATTCAACATGTACAAAGTTGCCATGATTGTAACTACTATGCATTGACAGTGTATAACTCTTTTACACAATCAAATAAGATGACCTACAGCAATATGCAACTCTCTAAAATAAGCCTAAGTTGATAATACAGAAATAAACTCTCTATAATAAGCCTAATTCTATGGTATAGAAGATAAAGTAAATGGCCAGCTATGATAAGTTAAAATGCACTTACGCGTAAAAATTAATTATACTATCAGTGTATGCAAGTTAAATACAACTGATATTACTTACGGGTGCAAAAAATGGTCAAACAACCATGCCCTGAGAACAGTTACAGCACGTTCCGGTAGCCCTCTTTGTGGTCGCCAAACAGGCTGATGATCAACAAATCCAGCATTATGAATTGCTTGTCTTTGGCAATAAATGCCTTTCCCTGCAGGATTTCCAGCTCTTGGGATTGTATCACTTTCACAAATTTGAGATTTGCCTGTGTACTGCAGTTGGTCAGTGATGGCATTTTTAAGGCACCTAAAGTGTTTGGACAAAGCTTTTAGAGATAGTTTTGCAAATGGCGAGGCATTCCCAAGTCCAGGAACAGATTCAAAAGATGCCATAACTGCTTGTAGTTGTTGATAATACTGCTTATATCTTCTGTAAACCTGATGGAGATCACCCAAAAAAGATTTGTCAAGAATACAAGGAGAGATTTCCTTAATATCATAGGTACTTTTAGTTTGAAATCATAAGTGATGAAAAAGTTTGTCTGAATAGCTTAGGTATACTTTTTTATAATTGTGAACAATGGGTCCACTACTCTATCTTTAATTTCTTCACTTACATACCAGGATTTAATCTGCTATAACGTTCGTACTCATGATATGCGCGTAAACCCCCACATCATGCGTTGTAGTGACACTCTAGGCAAACCTCATATTGACAAAATACGGGAGGAACGCTGGATATATAAGTTGATAAGTCCTAAACCCTATTAACGCATTTTAAAGCCGTGTCGGCCTAGGTCAAAAGTGGACAGTATTACTAGTGGGCTGGATCATTACATATGGTATCAGAGTCACTCCGCATGCAACCTTGAGCGATGGTGAGGAAAACCTCAGCGAGGACGCTGAGTCCTAAGAGGGGTTATGTGACACCCTAGGCAAATCCAACATCGACAAAACACGAGAGGAATGATGGATATATAAGTATATAGGCTTTAGACCCCAATGATGCATTTTAAAAAGGTGCGAGCATTGGCTCAAAGCGAATAGCAACACTAGTGGGCTGGGCTTTTACACACTCTTAACACTAGACCAAAACCCAAGGCTAAGTATGAAGACTTTTTATAAGCCATAAATATAAGAGTGAAGTTGCTATATATACAAAATTAAGTTGCCTAGAACAACCCATAGTTCATACTTCATATCACATTTGAGACTGGAGAATTATCAGATAAATATCAAGTGTATTGAGCAATTGGTAACTGGCATAAAAGTCAATCAAGATAGTGATTCCATTGTGCTCGAATGGCTTTCTGGAGCCCTTCAGATAAAACGAAAGCAGCAACTTCTACAAGTTGTTCGCTTTTGTATCAAGTTCATCAATTAAAATAACATAACAAGTTTAACTATCAGAGAAGAAAATACTTACACTTCAATTTACCTAAGTTAAAGATAATTTTGGTACCTCTATGCTAAGTTGCTCCGACATGGTAGTTTAGGTGTTGTACCCTAGTATGGGTGTGAGTATTGAATCCGTACCGCATTTGGTCAAATAATTATGGGTACTTTGACCGCGGCGGGCGGGAAAATTCAAGATGAGATACAATTTGATTCTCGAAATCAGAACCAAAACTAGGGTAAATTTGAAGAAAATAGCATACCTATCTAGGAAATTAATCCTTCACTTATCTACAAGCTGAGAATAAAAAAGAAATCCACACTTTACAAGCTATACATAAGTATTCCACAAATTTTCTCACAATTTGGGTATATTTTTATTTTTTTGAATTATTTTAGCCGGATCTCCGCGCCCATATCCGTACTAAGATCTGTATCACCGAATCGTAGAATTTACAGCTCGAAAGTCCAACCTCTAGATGTGTATTCGTGTCGAACACCCGCACCCCTATCCGAGCAACTTAGCCTCTATGGAATAAAAAGGATCATGAGGTGCACATTAATAAAATATGATTAACTCAAATGTAGGTTAGAGACATGGCGAAAAAATTGTTAATTTGGAAAAATAAGCTTAATTAAGATAATGGAGTTTTATTTTCCTGTCATACTTAAACCATGTAGTTTATGAAAATTTTAATAAGAACTTCATTTAGTCATTTCCAATCATTTAAAAAGGAAAATAAGAGGAGGAAAGAGGATTTTGAATAATTTGTCCCCATAGTAAATCTTTTCAGATAGATTCCCCAAATCTCTTCATCCACAATAAGGCCAAACTAAGTTTCATTATAACCCATATTGGAAACTCTTTCTAAATACTTGTCAGCCACTTTAAGGCACCAATCTTCGTGAATATATTCCCCTCAATCACTTTTTTCCAAAAAGATGATTTAGTGATCGAACTTATATGCCTAAAAAGTATAGGCATCTAGATACCTATAATACAAGACTCACCAAAATTTAATTATTTGTGCTAAGAGCATATATAAATATGGATCACTACAAATTGGATATTGCATGTTGGATAGACATTAAACCATAACTCTAGTCTTAAAGAATGAATCTACATTTGGTTACATAGTAACTACAGTGCAAGAAATTACTTTCTGAGTTTCTGTGAGGGAAACATCTAGTTTGTATCATAAGAGAGAAATTAATGGACACATTGGACACATTATCTGAAGATTAGAGTAGTAGAGTAGGTAGTTTAGAGTGTTCATAACAATAGTATTGACTCGCAGTTTCGCTTTCTGTTGGTAGTAGGTTTCTGTTGTGTTCTTTCATTGTTGATCACCTTACTATTTTGTTGTTTTAATCCAGCTTTTATATAGCTTTTTGGTACTGTCCCTTCTTGTTTATATTTTCATTAATGTGGTGCTTATATTTTCTTGAGCCGAGGGTCTATTGGAAACAACCTCTCTGTCCTAACAAGGTAGGGGTAAGGTTTGCATAGATACTACCCTTCCCAGACCCCACCGTATAGAATAATACTGGGTATGTTATCGTTGTTATATTATCTGAAGAAATTAAACCAAGCCTGTAAACCATATGGTGAAGAAAAATCTAAGACATAATGGTAAGAGTTAATCTCTATCTAATGTCACGTCATCTGAACTATATCTAAAGATAAAAATAATTTAGACAACCTGCTAACAACAAATTATATCACAGGAAAACATTGACTGAGCAGAACTAGGATTTAAAGTATATGAATAATGAATTTGCCATCGAACTTCTAGCTCATCTTATTTATTGGTTTAGCAATTTATATATATATATATTTATAACGAGTTTTCTCATACAATAGAGGGTCTAAGTAAAACATATAGGGGTCGTTTAGCAGAGTGTATAAGAATAATGCTGAATATGGTGTATTAGTAATGCATGTGTTAGTAATGCAAAGATTAGTTATGTAGAGATTATTTTTTATACATTGTTTGGTGTGATGTATTAAAAACTAAAATGCATTGCATAATTTTTAAAAAAATTAGTTGTTTACAAAAATGCCCTCTATATTCTTTAGTTTTAAGGGACTTTAAGGACAATTTGGTCTTTAGACATACTAATGCATGCATTGATAGCGTTGGTATTACTAATACCATGGTTTTGCTATGCATTAGCTATACACAGGATAATACCAAATAGGATGTATAACTAATGAAACAAAGTATTACTAATACACAAAACTAATGCAAGCATTATTTTGTGTTATGAACTCTACCAAACGACCTCATAGAGTTCGTCCGAACTCGTACAAATACTCTAACTCTCCACCCATAAAAAAGGACACTCAGATGCACAAATTATGATGTAGAAAGCCTACCTTGATACAAATATCAGTGTATGCTACTATGACTCAAACTATTGCTCCAACGCTTCCTTGAAAGGGAAATATAATTCAATGGTACTAAACAAAAGCATCCATTCTTAAATCTCAAAAAATATAAAAGGTACCTCATTAAGCATTGAAATTAACTTGGACTTGTTCCTCCTATGCTCACTTGCATCACCACATGAATATTGGGGATCATCACTTAAAGTTGCTTCCAGTGAAGGATCCATCACTATAAATCCATCATTAGCAGCTAAATTTTCAGCATAAATTCCCCTACCAACATCACAAAGTTCTTCTAACAATTGTTGTGCAGGTTTCAAGAATCTTGATCCCTTGAGAATTGAAGCATAGCCAGTGAATGGTCCAAGAGGAACAGTAGCACTACTACTCTTTGATGACATGTCATTAGTAAATATTGAAGAGTCATATCTTTGTAGGTTAAGCTCTAGAGGAAGATTACTACTACTACTTTGGTTGTAATGATGAGATGATGACAATGACAAAGACAAACCTTGACCTGTTGTAACATTATTGTTACTATTACTGTTGTTATTGTTATTAATAATAACATTAGTCTCAGGAGATGCAGCTACTGAAGAAAATGGTTCTTGTTTATATGCCACATCAACATCACCACCATGAAAAGATTGATCAAGAAACCTAAAATTTTGATGACTATAGAGAAAAGGGTTGCCACTAATTTCTTGAAAGGAAACACCAGATGATAATTGTGGATCCATGAAATTAACTCCTTTTTCTTTAGCATCAGAAACAAGATGGAAATCTGAGGGGATAAGTGAGGGATGATCAACAAAAGGAAGTAAACCAGAAGCAGAAACTCTAAGCCTATCTCTTCTGCTTTGTTGTGGGACATGATATGCTTCAAATCCCTCGGCCATATCTCACTGCAACTACAAAAAAGAGAAGCACTGTATTTTCTTGATATATTAAACAAAAACTGAGTAGACAAAGAGAGAGAAAGAGAAGAAGTCAGCAAAAGTGAAGAGATGGGATGAAATGAAAGGCTATTATTATTATATCTGATATCCCTTTCTCAGTTCTGAGAAAGAAAAACTGAGGATTTACTGTTTACTACCTCATCATATACATGCTACTCTTTAGTTTACAGCAGATTTGCTAAGAGAGAAATGAGAGGAGGGAGCAAGTTAACACACTAACAAGTTTTCTCTTCTTCTTTTTTTTTGTGTTTTTTTCCTAAGAAAGTCACTTTCTTACAGACTTCCACTGACTGACCAATTAATGTAAGTGGGGTCAGGGGCTTCTTCGTTTAACTTACGGCATAGGGTGTGCAAGACTAGCCATCACTAATAATTGGCTTAGGTTTCCTTAGCAGTAATAACCCCAGATATTTTTCGGAACAGCCACACTGTATCCCAAAAAAGTACGAGACCTTTTGTTAAACCAATTAAATAAAAGATGATGGGTAAATTCGGCTAGAAATTCTGCTGCTACTACAACATCTGTCCGGTCCAGCTCTCTCCCTATATTTGTAAACTTTTCATTATGTTGATAAAGTACACGGAATTGGCCAACCGCAGAATCTCTATCCGCCACTTGCTACATCTTTTCGCTCCGAGCTTTTATCGGGGCACGATAATACACCTTCGTCATCGAGGGGCCAAAGGACTGGTGGTGAAAATGGACGATAAGACCAATCGCAAGTTTTGGTTTGACTTTTTCTTCGTCAAAATCGAGCACGTGGTGGCGAACCCTGCTGGGTTTCCCGAGGAGTGGAACTTCGTCTGTAAGTATTTATGTTGACTGGTCGTTTAATGTCTTCCTTTAGTTACCTAATCGTTCTTTTATGGTGCAGTCGAGAAGGAGCCTCATGTGTTGGTCGCCGATATTCGCGACTGGGTGGCTTAGGTTTTGCCACACACGGTGGGGATCCGGGAGTGGTCGTCATTCAAGAAGAAGTTTGGGCCCCAATCTTCGTCGACCGATGAGTCCCGTTCTGATCCCCGACCACCTCGACCTTAGTATCATTTTTTTTCTTTTTTACTCACGTGATTTCCCTTGCTTTTAGGTCGAAAGGCTCCGAAGAAGGCGAAAGCTCCCACTCCCACTTTTCGTCAGTTGGGTACTGCGACCAGGTCTCTGACTGCTATGACTATATGCGAGTCTGTACGGACCGCTACTTCATCTAAAGTCCTAGCTCTGTGTAGGCCTGTCCGTCGGGCGGCTGCCCCATCAACGGGGACTACGACTCCTCCTTTGCTGCATTTGGTGGATGAGTCGTCGACGAGTGATGAGGAAGCGATTCAGTTGAAAAGGCGGCGATTAGAGGTTGGCGGCGAGATAGCAAGGGGAAAAGGATCAATAGATAATAGGTGGTGAGCCCAAGCCAGTCGTGCCTGAAATCGGCGTGGCGTCGGACGCTAGGATTTCAGTTCTTGATGCTGAGATTGCTCCTTTTCCAGAGGTTGCCACGGTCGTGCCGAGTAATGATCCGTCGACATCCGAGCTAGTCGATGTTCCTTCCTCTACCGAGGAGGGGGAAAGAGGTGTGACCGTATATGATTTTGAATCCAGTTCTGACATCGACCCCGATGAGGAGAAGATGTTTGATGAGGGGCTTACTCGGGTTGAGGTGAAAACTGATAGATCTTCTCGTTCAATAGTTATCCATTTGGATTGTAGCTTGCTGACCTACACAGAGAGTGTGGTTCCCTCTTTGGTTCCTCTCTGCTCTAGCGCTGAGAACAAGACTCTACAGTCTATCAAGGATGCCGACCTATCGTTGAGCGTATCTGGACTGGCTTTGTGGGTGATTTGGTATCTTTATTTTTGTCCTCGTACCTTGTGTTTTTCTCTTTTTCATTTTTACTGGCTCTTCCCTCTTTTTTGGATCTCTCTCTTTTAACTCTTATCTTGGAAATCGAGAGTGCCCGCCGAGCGGAGAAGCGGAAAGTGGTTTTTATGAAAATGGTTACGAAGTATTGTCGATTTCGTGATAAGTACCGTGAGATGCGTGCTCGACTCCACGTGGGAGGTAAACTCTAGTTTCTTAGGGAGGAGTTGAGGTAGAAGGATGATGAGCTCGTGAGAGTCATCGGCAAATGCAGCGAGCTTGAGAGAGCACTCAAGATAAAGGAAGACGAGATCGAAGTGAATTAGGGGGTTTCGGCCGAATGTGTCGACCTCCAGGCTCAAGTGATGTCTCTGCAAGCTGATCTTGGTCATAGCAAATGGCTTGAGTGATGAGTTTGTCAAGAGAGTGGCGGAGTTAGAGAGGGCCGAGGGGGCCCAGGTGGCAACATTGGTGCAGGTGGCAGAATTGGAGGATGTCGTTCGTGTCCTTAGATTTGAACGGGGAAGTGATGCTGAGATACCACACTCAGGGAGCCGAGGTCTAATGAATGGATTGGTGGTCTCGATAAAGATGTTTCAGATCTAAAGGAGCAGGTCATCGTCCTTGAGGCTGAGAAGGCGAAGTTGTTAGCCCAACCGTCCTCCTCTCATACTTTTGCTTTCCCTGACTTTCCACGGCCCTTATATGAGTTGTGGATCCTTGCCAAGGCTCAAATGGACATTTATAGTAATTTGATAACGGCATGGAAGGTTCCTGAGGCTGACTTTAAAGATGCTCGCACTGAGGCACGTACGGCTAGGATTGCTTGTGGTTATGATCCAGCAAGATGCCTGGTACGAGGATGAGTATCCCCAAGGTGATGGCGGAGACGGCGCTACTAGGCCGAATGATGGAGATGGTGCTGCTAGGTCGAGTGATGGAGATGGCACTGCTAGGCCGAGTGATGGGATTGGCGCGGCTGGGTCGAGTGATGGAGACGGCGCTGCTAGGTCGAGTGGGGGAGACGGCGGCGAAGAAGGCGGGGGATGATGTGTAGTACTTTGTACTTAGTTTTTGTTCTTTTCTTCTTCTTTTTTTGTGGGCGCCTTTCTTGCCCTTTGTAAGATACTTTTGGAATAAAATGATTGCAGCCCTTTACCATATGTTTGTCTTTTATTCTTCTTCGAACGATTTTATTCAAGTAGTTGCTTTTGAACATGACTGAATATATCTTTGAATTAATCTGGGTAAGTCTCATGCCGTTGTTGTTGACTCAAACGAAGTAAACTTGTAAGTTGAACTCGGGTCAGGTCGAGTATGAGTTGATTTAACGAGGTCGAATGATGACTTTTATTTAATGTGAACGAGGTCAAATGTAAGTCGATTCGAGCGAGGTCGAATAATGACTTTTAATTAATTCGAACGAGGTCGAATGATGACTTTTATTTAATGTGAACGAGGTCAAATGTAAGTCGATTCGAGCGAGGTCGAATAATGACTTTTAATTAATTTGAGCAAGGTCGAATGTGACTCGATTCGAGCGAGGGCGAATGATAACTTTTAATTCATTCGAATAAGGTCAAATGTAAGTCAATTCGAGCGAGGTCAAATGATGACTTTTAATTAATTCGAACGAGGTCGAATGTGAGTCGATTCGAGCAAGGTCGAATGATAACTTTTAATTAATTCGAACGAGGTCAAATGTGAGTCGATTCGAGCGAGGTCAAATGATGACTTTTTAATTAATTCGTACGAGGTCGAATGTGAGTCGATTTGAACGAGGTCGAATGATGACTTTTAATTAATTCGAACGAGGTCGAATGTGAGTTGATTTGAGCAAGGTCGAATGATAACTTTTAATTAATTCGAACGAGGTTGAATGTGAGTTAATTCGAGCGAGATTGGATGTTGATATTAAAATTGATTCGAACAAAGTCGGATGTAAGTTGATTCGAGCGAGGTTGAATGATGACTTAAAAATTAATTCGAACGAAGTCGAATGTTGTTTCCTGGATTGGCGTAATATATAAACTTGGTGGAGAAATGTAAACATCATGTGTTTGCATATTTCGCTTTGTTTATACATTCATTGGAGAAGTTTACATGTTTTAGCTCTGTTCATGAATACATTGGAGAAGTCCCAGTCTATCTAGTCCCTTCATTGGTCGACTTGGAGAAGTAGTTGAGATGTCGAGCAATGAACTTATACTTAACTTCGAGATGCCCTCTTCGTCGCCTTGTTAAAAACCTCCCCGAGAAAATCCAATTGGGATAAAACTCGGGTGAGGGAAAAAGAGTACGACTTTGGGGACGTCTATCCTTAGAGATTGAAGTATTTGAGGTTGACGACGTTCCAATTGTTTGGTAGTAATTTTCCCTCTTATGTTTCTATCTGGAATGACCCTTTGCTTACTGCCGCCGTGATTTTGTATGGGCCGTCCCAATTGGTCCCCAGCTTGCCTTCCCGTGGATCCTTGCTCGCCTATGTTTTGGCTTTGAGTACATAGTGCCTGACTCTTAGTGGCCTAACTGTTTACCGTTAAAATGGTAACAACAATTAAATTTGTAAATGGGATTCTAAAAATACGTGATCTATTCTCGAGCTAGTTGTTAGAGCAGATGATGCTAAGAATGTGAATTTTAACGATGAGATGCAAGCTAAAACAAGGAAATAATCAAACCGAGAGGCCTGTTGCCCGGATGTAGGATTGATCGACGGGGACCTTGGGGTCAATGTCTAGGTTGAGCTCGAACTATCAGGGGAAATCGGGAATGGTGTAACAGTTAGGTTACGATCAAGAAAAAGCTCTATATAGCCAATACCAAGCGATAAACAAAGAACAAGTAAGAAGTCAATAAATGCTAAATGGCCTCGAGCTAGTGAGGGCAAGCGAGTTAGAGAGGAGAGAGAGAGAAGATATTATTGTAGTTGAGTAGAATAGTTGGAGCTCTGTCTTTACAGGGTGTTAGCGACTCCTCTTTTATAGAAAAGGGGGGAGCCCAAACTTAGTACAAGATACGCGTGATAAAAGAAATAGGATGGGACAACCGACTAGCTTTACGATGTAAGCACGGGCTGATGTCGAGCCGCTCGAATAGACTTGATCGACCCCATGTGCATTCCTCGGGAGATTTCTGCATTTGTCGGAGCTTCAGTCGACATTATCCTTGGCAGGGTACCGGCCGATATTGAGGGAAGTGACTGGCTCGAGATCCCGGGCATCCGGGATCACCCTTCGAGGAATTTTGTCGAGGAGAAATCGGCCTCCCAGATTTCACCGCGCACACTAACCTTGCCTTTTTTGTTGTATTATCGCTCTGCCAATTTTTTTTGGGCTACCATTCTTATGTAAGCCATGTATCTTCGTTCTTCGGCCTCGTCGAGGTCTTATGTTC